GGCTAGTCCACAGTTGACGCTTGAATAGGAATGACAGCAGTGGACTCAGAAAAAGTTCCAGCAGAGTTGCAATAATACCCATAAAGGCTACAAGGGCTATTACGTTAGGGTTACAAAACTTTATCATGGCGAATACAATGCTGGTGCCTAAAAAAAAAAAATACTTTAGTTTAGGCATGTTTGCATAAATATATCAAATAAATATTTTTAATTAATTAACTACTTTTTGCGAAGTAAATGTATCTTGGTTGAAAAAGTTTGAAACATTTTTAACAGCACCTAATCAGGGATAATGAAAGTTTTGAAAACTCCTTTTTATGTCTATTTTTTTGAAAGCTGGTATAATCAATCATACTCAACCAATTTTAATCCCCTAAATCCTTTCAAGAGTGAATGAACCACCTGCAATAAACGATGAGGTGACAGTTTCATTATACCAGCTTTCAAAAAAATAGACTATAGATAGTTTATCACAAATAAATTGGGATGAGTTTGTACTACATCCATGATAGTGAAAGCAAAGCTGAATTTTTGACTCAAGATATGAAGTGTTTATTTGAAACTTATGCACCATCTAAAACTATAAGTGTGTTGGGTTTTCTTGGCATGCAGACGTTTCAATTGAAACGGATGAAAAATGTTCTTGCCTTGACTAGGATTTGAACCCAGTACCCTCGCATATCCAGTGCAACGCTCTACCAACTGAGCTACCGAGACCTGTCTCATTTCTACCTTGTCGGTCAAGTCTTTCATCAATTTCAAGTTGTTAGTTGTGAAGACCAACGGCAACCTTCGGCGATTATCGTTGGTATGGGAGTGAGTTAGAAGGTATAGGGGAACACATTCGCAATTAATGGCTGTTTTGGAATCCATTATCCCTTTAACCACGGATGCGTCGTCGTCGACATATAGCGACTTCAGCAGGTATCGGGATGGGACGCCCAACCATCAATATCAAGCCAATAATTTTTACAATTTTCACAAGTTTGGGCGTGGATGAATCCAGATAGACTTCAAGAAGCCACAGATTTCATCCTGAAAGAAGCAGACGTATTTGTGATGGATAATCAAACCGGACGGACCAGTTTAATTCAACACAAAATTGATACTCGATTGGCACACCCAGTTAGACAACCACCTCGACGTATGCCAGGAACTAAACAACCGTAAAAAAAAACTAAACAACAGGAAGTAGAAAACCAGAGGGAATTATTGGAGAGTCGAATAGTCCATGGTCTGCGCCAGTAGTATCGGTTACAAAGAAAGATGGGAGTCTTAGATTTTGTGTGGACTACCGAAAGCTTAATGACGTCACCAAGAAAGACAGCTGCTTCCCTCTCCCGAGAATAGACTATACATTAACAACTCTATCGGGCTCTAAATGGTTTTCCACCTTGGATCTCAGAAGTGGATACTGGCAAGTGGCAATACACAAAGATGACAAAGAGAAAACTGCCTTCAGTACCGGAAGCGGGTTATACCAGTTTAACGTAATGCCTTTCGGATTGTGTAATGCTCCAGCTACGTTTGAGCGACTGATGCATCCCTTTTTGCGAGGCCTTACATGGAGAACTTGCCTGGTATATTTAGATGATGTCATGATCATGGGAAATTCGTTTCACAAAAATCTCAATAACCTGAAAGAAGTTTTCAACCGTTTCCGGAATGCCAACTTAAAACTCAATCCAAATAAGTGTTTTCTATTCCAAAAGAAAGTGAAATTCTTAGGTCACGCGTGATATCTGAAGATGGCAAGTTATGGAAGGAAAAATAGATGCTGTCAGGGATTGGCCAAAGCCACGCGACAAACATGAACTAAGGAGTTTTCTGGGATTATGTTCTTACTATCGAAGATTTGTGGAAGGATTCGCCAATATAGCTGCTCCGCTTCATCGATTAACAGAAGAAAAATCGACATTCAATTGGACCCAAGAATGCGATTCCGCTTTCAGAAAATTAAAAGGAGCATTATATACGGGCCCAGTGTTGTCCTATCCCGATCAGAAAGGCATGATGATTTTGGACACAGATGCAAGCAATACCAGTATTGGAGCTGTCGTTTCACGAATCCAAAATTCACAAGAGCATGTCGTAGAGTACTACAGCAGAACCTTATCAAAGCCGGAACGAAATAATTATTGTGTCACCAGAAGAGAGTTGCTTGCGATTGTAAAAGCAGTGGACCATTTCCATAAGTATCTCTCAAGGACAACACCTTTTCATCCACAGTCTGATGGCATGGTAGAACGATTTAATAAGACCATAGAGGAACACCTGACAAAAGTAGTCGCAAGGAACCAGCGAGATTGGGACAAACACTTGCTTCTATTTTTAATGGCTTACAGAGCAGCTGTCCACGAATCAACAGGTGAAAGTCTAGCTAGAATCGTTTTTGGAAGGGAACTCAGGTTACTTCGCGATTTGATGTTTGGAATACCTGAAGAAGAACGAAAAAAAAAATCGAGATTATGCCGACGAAGTAAGGGCACGATTTCTGGGAATACACGATTTAGCTCGGGAGCATATTCAGCTGGCCAGTGACCGAATGAAGACCAGATACGACTTAAAAGCCAATTCAGCCGGATTTCAAGAAGGTGATTTGGTGTGGCTGCATAATCCAACAAGAAAGAAAGGAGTGTCGCCGAAACTGTCTTTAGCATGGGAAAGACCCTGCAGAATAATCAAGAGGATTAATGATTTGGTTTATCGAGTTCAGCGCAACACTAGGAGTAAGATGAAAGTTGTACATCTGGACATATTGACGAAATATCATGGGCGAGAAGTTAATCGAGACGATCAACCATAAGTTCGTCATATAATTGCCGGTTTATACAACATTTGCATAGTCATAATCATAATCATAGTCTTACTCATAAGAGTTAAAATAATATTTTCTTATGGAACCGTTTATACACAAATCATAATCATAAGCATAAGCATAACTCAAAGTTGGCAACTTTTAACTTTTATGATTGTGACTAAGACGAGATTCAAACTGCGCAAGCGCCACTAGAAGCTGTTACAGAGAAAAACAATTCAAATCTGCTATTTTAGTTCTGTGTGTATTTAAATTGATCTTGAGTTATTCTAGAGTATTCAAAAAATTGGTCTCCCTCCATCAAGCGTCCACATGTCTTTGAATAATGTGGCAAAATGCCCTTCCTTCTGCCTTTTTTTATTGATGGGCTTCACTTTCCACCTTCTTTGTCTATGGTTTGTGTTTGTTGAAGTTGTTTATTAAATGCCATAGCCATGAGTGAAGCAAAACTCAAAAACAAATAGGACAGACCTATCACTTGTATGTTTTTTTTCGCAGAATTTTAATTTCCACACTTTTTGAAACTTTGAAAAAGTATTAAAGTAAATACACGAGTTCGATTCGCAAAAAGTAAACAAACTCTCCCTACAAAAAGTCGGGTTAGAGTTGATTTTATTTTATGCTTATGACATTGTATAAATGCCTTCTAAAATTGTGATTATGATTAAGACTAAGGCGGTTATCACACCAGCAATACGCGACGGCAACGATACCGCGACGAGATTCAAATGGTAGCGACTTGTCGGCGACCAGTTTCTAGGAAGAGTTTACACCAAGGATACGCTACTCCGACGCTACCGCTATGTAATTTTATATATTTATTTAAACTATTTTGTAGAAAAAACCAACTTCAGTCAACAAAATGCCTTCGTCAAGTGAAGAGGAAGCAGTCATAGTGGCATTATATTATTTAAGAAAAAAGCGAAAAATATATGGAATAATCACTTAAATTATAATTGTATATGCAGAGATATTTTTCGATTATCTCCACAAATCTTCTTTTTTATTATTTTATTTTGTTCCTCACTCATATTAATAATTTTATGTAGGTAGGTATCTTGACGGTCGCAAGGAGACTGAGCCACTCGGTCGCCCGAGACTGGTATCTTCCAGAGGGCCGATCCTCGGGCCAGGGAGTAGAGCTCCCCGAGGGAACAAATTTTTCCTCTTTGTCATTCTTGTTTACTTTTCGATTACGTTGACAAGGACAAAAAAATTCGTTCTATCGGGGAGCTCTACTCCCTGCCCGAGGATCGGGCCCCAGGTAGCGTTGCGATCGCGTCGCCGTTGCCTTGGTGAGCAGGTCTCCATTCGAAACTATTTGCCGCGACTGCAAAGCTACGTCGCGTCGCGGTATCGTTGCAGTCGCGTATTGCTGGTGTGATAACCGCCTAAGACTAAGACTATGATTATGATTATGACTATGCAAATGTTGTATAAACCAGCCATTAGTATTGTAATATAAATTTAATTTAACAATATTTGTAACTATTCTGAAATAAATAAACTTGAAACTTGAAACATACGCCTTTTGCTTATCCCTTCGTGACGCCAATCAAAAACGCCATAAAATAAGCATATAGCCGACGAGAAATATCACGCTTTACGTCGTGTTAGAGTTAATTAGCGAATTATGGCTTTAACACGTTCAAGCAGTAAAATTGAAATATGATAAAGAAGTTTATTACCTCGCCCAGAAATTGGAGCGAGTCCCATGGTATCAGTAACGTCTGAAGGTCTGGGTGGGCTCAACTCCCATTTGGGGCCAAATTTTATTTATTTATTTTTTTTTCGAATTTTTTATAGTATGCCTACTATACAGGGTGTCCTTAGATAAACTGACACATCTGCATCAGGTAAATATTTCAAACACGAGGTGGAGTTTGTTTTTTTCACAGAATTTTCGAATCCTAAAATTTGCTGAAATTTGGTTTTACAGACATGTGATTTTTTGAAATAAAACTACTGCCTTATTTTTATCCAGCAGGGAGAACATGTTCAATATTCCAATAAATATTGTAAAGAGGCTGAGGGAGCTTGAGTCCAGAACCAAAACTCAGAGACATAAGAGAAAATTGTAAAATTTGAACTGCGAATTGTTAAAATGGAGCAAACAAATACAGCTTTTTCTGACCGGACTGTTTCGGGGATGTGTACGATCGATTCTGGTTAAGATAGGAAAGAGCAAGAATACCTAACATATGAATGATGGAGAGGAAAAATAGAGCAAAAAATATTATAATTTTCAATGTAAATGAATCAAAAGCTAAAACACTGGCAGAAAGGAATCTTGATGATGATAGGACAGTTGGTGCAGTATTCGAAAATTTTGATATAAACAAGGATGGTTTCAGAAGTTTCCGACTTGGGAAGTATGTTGCAGACAGGGCTTGGCCCATTAAGGTCATTCTGGAATCTGAGGCTGATGCAAAAAATATCTTGAAGAACCGAAAAAATATAAGCATTCCGGGTGTTAGGGTGAATAATGATCAAACAAATATGCAAAGAGATTACTATAGGGGTGTCAAAGCAGAGCTCCAAAGGCTTGTAGAAAGTGGACAAAATAATAAAACTATTAAATTCATTAACAATAAACCAACGACTGTGGATAAAAAGGATAATCAAAAAAACTCCCACTAACACCTACTATACTTATATATAGCAAAAAAAAACATACATTTTTAGTAGAATATCAGCAAGCTTGTCCTATCAGTTAAAGCTTATTGTTTATAACACTATCATTCAGCCTCATTTTGACTTTTGTGCCTCATTGCTGTACATGTTTAATTTAAACCAAACTTACTATGATATTTGTGTACGAAATTTTAAATAAGTTAGCACCACCTTATATTGAACAGTTTGTTGTTTTTAATAGGGATATCCATGATTACCCTACAAGGAATAATGATCATCTCTTTATTCCAAGAACGAATTTTAAGAGTACAATGAACTCATTATTTTTTAAAAGCTTTCAGGAATTTAACAGTGTTCCAAATGATATCAAGGGCTTTCCCTCAGTTCAGCGTTTCTAAGATGGGCTGAGGATTTACATTCAGGCTAAAGATTGATTAATCTACTATTGCATTTACCATCTTGATGTGATTGGGTGAACCAGAGTAATGTGCTGCTTTCTTCGTAGGGTTTTTTGTTGTACCTATTTTGTAGATACCTATGTAGTTACTTGTATGCCTAATGGCCATTTTTTCTTATATTGTGTTTTTTGTGTATAGGAGGTGTACCAACCTATTCAATAAAGATAATTATATTTCATTTCATTTCATGAAACACCCTGTATCTTTTTTCATCGTCACAAAGCCTGATTTTCTTATTTCACAAAAATGTATTATTTTTTTTCAATTATCTTGAAATTGCATCGTAAAAATTGGAAAGCGTACCTTCGACTGGCCAAAAAAAAGTTGATAATTAATGTGTGAATAAAGTAGGTGACTTTGTATGGGATGTGTATATTTCTGTTAAGAGCAAAGCGCTTTCGGCTAATTAGTGCCAACTAAAATTATACAAAAAGGGTGGTGTAGTAATTAAAATCAGACAGTTTAAAACTTACCAGTCAAAAAAATAATGGAAGACTATCCGTAAGGACATCCACAACATAGAAAAACATGCCCGGACTCTCACACTTAAAATTACTATAATTAACACTTAATTTGAAAAGGCAAAAATTAAATATTCATTCGTATAAATAAGGTGTAGCAAATGCTATCACAGATTATAGGTCTGTTCCTACAGGAGTCTCTGACAGTTTGCAACCTGTCAGAAACAATCGCTCAGCTGAGTTACAGATTTATCTTGTAACGACAGCATTGAAAACATGCATGGGCGATGTTTACTGACAGTTTGCAAACTGTCAGAGACTCCTGTGGGAACAGACCTATTATGTTCAGAGACTTCACACTAATAAAATGATAAATTTACCTTTCTACATAGTTGCAAGTGGCAATTAATTTGCGTTTAAAGTTAACCAGAGTTCAATTAGTTAATAAAAGTGATAAACACAAATTTTTATGATTTTTTTTTTGGCCAGTCCGATGGTACCCAACAAAGATAACTGAAAAAATATACATTTTTGCTAAGTATAAAAATCAGGCTTTCTAACGATGACAAATAAGACAGGGTGTTTCATTTAAAATAAGGCAATAATTTTATTTCCAACCAAATTCTAGCAAATTTTAGGATTCGGCAATTCTGTGAAAAAAAAACTTTAAAAAATCCTTATTCTCTCAGAACAAACCGTATTTTGCTATCTTTTCTCGTTTTCGAGATATTTACCTGCAAAATGTGTCAGTTTATCTAAGAACGAGTACACCCTGTATTGTCTGGACCTTCTTCTAAAATCCCGGAAAAACGCTCGCCACTAAAAAATAGGATTGACGTGTCCGAGCGTTTTTTCAAAAAAAAAAAGCTTTAATTTTAAATGAATTTTTCCGTTAGTTTACGGACAGACTCTATATTTTGTAGAGATGTAAAATACAGTTACTTTTGACTACCCATAACTATTCGTTACTTTTTAGTAATGTACTCGTTACTCAATATTCGTTACTCAAATACTCGTTCTGACTGGAATATATTTTTGAATCTGGTCGAAGGTTGAATAAACAAAAATATGTATGACGATAATAATATTTATAATATAATTTGGTATAAACAACAAACAAATACAAATAAATTAACCCAAAATTTCAAATACTTTTGAAAAGGATAAAAAATATGGTGCGCAATGCGCATAGAGAATTTCGATTCGAGTACTCAAATAACTATAGCGCCGGCGATTTTTGTATTAATTGTATTCGTTATTTCGGATCCGGGCAAGTAACGAGTACTCGAGTAACGAATAGTTACTTTTCTGACACCTCTAATATTTTGCCGATATTTATTAAGGGGTTTCTAAATATAATTAAGTAGGCATTAGGAACATTTTTAGAAAGGATGTACAAAGTAGGATTTGGAAAGCGAACCCAGTTATGAGGCTGCTTCGGTCATAGACACACATTTTTGTAAGACTCTTTCCTCAAATAGCTAAGTATCATTTTGCAATAAAAACTATTTTGAAAAGAAGTTATACGGTATTGTTTTCATTACGGTCGGTATTGTAATCACAACAAGAGCTATCACACATTTCAAAGAATGTACTACATTTGCTACAGTAGATACTTCATAATATGGAGTACCTATATACTTTGTGGTGAAGCATGATTCACTCATTTCCATTAGTATCTACTTCACTAGGCATAGGATATGCTTCACCACAAAGTATATACTCCATTTTTTAAAGTAGGTATCTACTTAACAAGTGTAGTACCTTCTTTGAAATATGTAGTAGATACTCACTTCCGTCATACATACGCCGCGCTGGGCCATGGCTAACAAGATAAGACATGTTTAGTTTTTGGGAAACGACAGGTGTTAGTTTTGTATTATAAATATTTATTATCACTTTTACGTTAACTTTGCTTTAACAGTCCTTTAGGATATCTTTGAGTGAGGGAAGTGTGATAAAAGAGTCTCAAAATGAAAACCAACAGTTCGCATTTGTTGTTAAACTCAAAGACATTAAATTTATTTTAAAGATTAAAGAATGACACCTTTGATAAAATCGGCAAAAAATGCAGATTTGATTCTTGCAGTATAAATTTAATTTCTTCGTATTTGAGCCATTTTTAAAATAATCACTTGTTAGCACTGTAGCACTCACTGATGTGAAGCTGCTATGATACTAACTTCGCTAATAACGGAGTACTGCAGTTGTTAAGATCGGCGTATCTACTAGTAAAAAATAGATACTTTCGGCTGTAGTAGATGCTACTATAATGTTTAGGAGAATGCTATTATTTAAGCAACTTCCGGAAAAACAGAAAAAAGTACTTCGAAATATAGTATCTACTTCGTTTTAAAGTAAATAGGTACTGCGTAGAATATACTAATACTTGTAGTAGGTAGTAGCAGGTACTTCGTTTTTATTCATACCACCCAATATATCTGATGGATAATTTAGATACGGAACGCGAGCGAGAAAAATTGATTTCGATTTATGATCAGCGAATATACCTTCCTACAAAAAAATCATCAAATTCAGAGAGGGTACGGGATAATAGATAATTAGCGAATTGAATATGTTCAAAACCCAATCCGAAACACTTGTTTCAGATTTGGGGGCTAGGAGGTAAAGAAACGAGAAGAAAGAGAAAGAATCTTAGGGTTATCGGAGAAGTAGAACACGACACAAAGGTAGGTTTTTGTGATGTGGGGGATAAGATGAGGATAGCCACAGCGACCTAACCCAACAGTATCATTACGATAAACCGAATAATGATGAAAATTTTCACATCAGAAACGTTAAGACAACCAAGCATTTCATTCAATATTGGTACGGAATTGCATAAAGAGCTTGGCTGCATTCCAGGGATCAAGTTGTTTACCTCTAGTACGACAGGAAGTTTATTGTTGTGAACAAGACTTCTATATAAATCCGGATAAGTGAAGTTAATGGTGCATTAATTTGAGTTGGAGCTTATTAGTGGGAGAATTAGCAAGACAATTGGGGTTTTAATTTGAGCTAACTTGTGTGAACTATCAGTTCAGACAAGTTCAAAAAGAGATTTTTGGAAAAAATCCAAAAACGTCTGTGATACAAGAGTAGGTAGTCACTTTATCAACATCAGAAAACAAGCTCACAAACGGATTATCTGCAAAATTCTAGAAACTTCTATAGAATTATACTTGACCATCCTCTTGTAAAAGAGTTTTTTTCCGGGCTATATTGCCGTGGTCTAGTGATATTTCTACCTAACGTTTCGTCTACTACTGCGGTAGACATCTTCAGAGGCGGTGTGGTAGCGGACGAAGTGTTCTCTTCCGTGTTCCTCCAATGACGGGATTCGACGTTGTTTGCCCTGCGTTATTTATATCCAGGGTTGTGGGCGTGGCTTGTATTACGCTTTTTTTCTAGTCTCGGTCTAGGAAAGAAAGTGTCTTTGTTTTTCAGAGAACTGGCAACCCGCTTTTGTTAAGGTTTATGTCCTCTTCTTTTCTGTTGAAGTTGTTGTGGTGTTCCTGTATCTCTATGGTTTCTCTGTGAAGTCTTCTTTGTTTGATTCTATCCAATGCTTGAGTCTGGTCGAAACGAAAGACATGTTTTTTTTTTGTGTTAACACGTGTTCGATTCGGCGATTGCTGATCTATCTATATGTCCCTGCTGGCAGTTTCTTTTGTGGTCTTTGACCCTGATGTTGATAAAGCGTTTGGTTGTTCCTACATAGACAGATCCACAAGAGCAGGGATTTCTATAGACGCCAGTCGTTTCAGAAGGTGTCCTAGGGTCCTTGGCCGATCTTAGACTTTGCTGAATTGTTCTTGTGGGCTTATAGATGGGCTGAATGTTGTGTTTTTCTAGCGTTCGTCCTATGCGATTTGTGACATTTTTGAAGTAGGGAAGTGAAAGCCTTCATTCTTTATTCATCCCGTTCGTGTTTTTTTTTTCCATCGCCGATCTGGTGTTGTTGTATAAAAGTGCTTCAAGCCGGTCCTGTTCTTCTTGTCTACCGGCTTCTTCGTAATGCTCCTCTTCCTACTGTCTTGTTCTCCTTTCTGTCATCGGCCTTCTTCTTCTCGTTTTGTTCCTGTCTTTGGGACTTGGTAGTGAATTGCAATCTTCATCTCTATTCGTGCGATGGTAAAGTC